CGAAGATCGTGATAAGTGGAGAGAAAATTTAAAAACGTTGTTAACTAACCTAATATAGGTTGAAAAAAAATAATAATAACATACACGACTTATTACGTGCATTAATATTATGCGTATGTGGGGCAAGCATAATTAAAAAGACTCAGCCGTCACGTAATTGATGCAAGTTGATTTGCGCAATTGATTTCGATCTTTTGACAACACGCCTGACATTATCTATATGTGCACCCACACGTGTATACACGTATACGTTTGCAATACATACTATTATCTCCGGACAGTTCCCATATATATAATTTCGGTGGTCACAGATATCCTGGGACAGTGTTCGCGCACTGCACAGCACCTAATTAAATCTGTGAGACGGAAACGTACGTGTGATCGAAACTCAGGGCCGAAATCTATACAGTAATTAAAACCGAGAGCTGAGATTGAAATCAAAACGTGTTCGCTTGACAGGTCGCGACGATACGCAAATATCGTGGTCATATGGGCGTCGTTCCGGCTGGGTCGTTGGATACAGGGTCGGAGCGATATCGGCAATATTTTAGCAGGTGAACCATGTATTTAAGAGAAATAACTGACAGCATAATGTATTTATATCATAAGAAATCAGTAGTGGCCGTCCCGAGAATCACGTCGTATTGTTATTGTTCAACAACAGAATATGCGTAAGAATACGAGAGCATTTTTGAAACGTACCTACATGGTAATAAATGATTTAACAATTTAACTCATTTGAGATACATATAGTATTACTGGTATTGACATATTATGACATGTCAGACAAAATGTGTTACTGTTAATTTTTTTAAAAAATTTATATTTTAATGTTTATTAAATTAATTAAATTAATTATTTATTGTATATTTAATGTGTATAAATTGTTTTACCTTTTTTTCTTTTTTTGGTTCTTACTCGTATTACACTCATCAACATGGATTGCTACGCTCGTATTTGCTATCTTGGGATAAATAAATGTTTAATAATGTAAGAACTAAGTTAACTTTATATTATATTCGATGTATGTCATCGGTGATAGAAATCTAAATACCTCCTGACAAACCATGTTACGATATACTGCTATTACGGATAATAATACTGCACTGCCATGCGAGATCGTTCTTATATAATGTACAGTGAAAATGATTTCGTAAATTATTATTGTTCTACATCAATGCTGTTAAATATCTGTTTAAACTAATATTCTATAACAATTATGTCTGGTGATGTTTATTCAAACCGTTCGCAATTCATCGGTAGTTACTTCAACCAATATGATTATCTTTCACATTTAAGGAATCCTGTTTTTGAAGAGGAAACATTATTCGGGCGTGGTTGTCGAGGTATTTTTAATAAATCAAATAAAATGTATTGAACGATTTAATGAATAGTTCTGTGCAAGTTTCTACTTGGTTAGAAATGCCTTACAACGGTTACACCTAAATGAATTTTTCACTGAATATTTGAAAACTCTACGGATACTAAACAATCAACCTCAATATTACATGTGATCGATATTACAACAAACTCAATAAAAATTATTAATAAATTATCAAAAATTAAAGTATCCTATTTAAAAAATGAAGCGATTTCTATATTAAAATATCTATAGGTATCGATATAAGCTTAATCGAATTTATCATTATACAATAAAAACTATGACCATTTTTATACAACGTTTATATTTTAACATTTCATACATTTATGTTTGTTTCTATTTTGTTTAAAGAACATTTAAACTATATATTACTATATATATTTTACAATAGTTTATAATAAAAAATAAATAAATATTTGTATTCATTTTTTATTTCAAACGATATTAACGATATTATATGTATAAATGTCAATAGAGGTATATATTCCGATTATAAATATTTCTGGCTTATATATATTTTAGTGAAATATATAGAAGTTAAAACTATAAAAGTTATGAAAATATTTTTGTTCTCATATTTTTTTTTTTTTTTTTTTTTTAAGTTAAACCATTTAATTATTACATTAAAAGTATAAATAAATACAAACTAATAAAATGTTTTCTTGTTGTGTATGATTCAGTCTTCTAATGTTTACATTAAAAGTAACTAAAAATTAACTTTCTATTTCAATCTTATTTTAAAAATCTGTCTTTTGAAGAATTGAAAAATATTAATAAAACAAAGAAAAACTGACGTACATTTTTAAAAAAAATGTATTATTCCTATTATTTTTATTTAATCAATCAGAATAAAGAGAATAGCTGTTATTATAATACGTGAGTAAAAATAAATATAAATTTATTTCGAAACTATTCCTGTAAAATTGATTGTGTGTTTTTCACTTTGATCAAAATTACGAAGCAATAGTTAATATAAGTAACAATAAAAAGACAGAAATAAAACTAGATTTATACCAATACCAAATTATTTAAATTTTTAATTGTAAAAATATTTGTTGTAAATCATATAATTATAACTACCTAAATGAATACTTAAAATCATGGAAACAAAATACAAAATCTTATTTATGTAGCAATATTTGAAACTGTTAAATAATTCGAGGGTAAATATTTAACTGTTTTATACATTATCATCATACAATACATAATTAGAAGATTATAATTATGTATTATATATTTAAAGTAACCATTTTAAGTAACTGCTATAAAACTAAATATAAATATTTTTTTCTGATAAATGTATAAGCGTTTAACAATATATTTAAAAATTTCACACAAAGAAAAATTCTAACAAAATAAATAGTGAATTCGTTTTTGATATTAATAAACGAACGTTTTCACTTCAATAAACGTCCGCATTTTCATTATTATTTCTTCTTTTATAAGTATAATATAAATATATATATATATATATATTCAAAAGGTCCATTTAGTAATCCATTAACCATCTTTTTAACTCTGCCCAACCAATCATACTTTTTTTTATAAATTCTTTTTTTCCTACTCAATCAACCTACCTTAACTCTGCCAGCTTGAGGATTCTATACTTTTATTATCTAAGGGCACTCTATAAAAGTCATGTTGGAAGCAAATGAAATGCATAATTTTCTTACTCTTATTCACCACTATGCATATTGTCCGGAACTTAGGTACTTCAAAATTTAATAACAAACCAAGCCTAAAGACTAAATATAATGAGCTCGACGAATGTGATCGAGAAAGGAATAATGTTGTAATATATATATATATATATATACGTATACTATTTATACGAAGTAATTCATTTAATAATAGTAATTATTTTTAATTAATTTATTATTGTATAAAACCAATTTCCAATGATAACACATACAACTTATAAACTATAACCCTCATACCCTAAATTCACTCTACTACCATCACTCGAAAAATAAACTAGTATAGCTCACCCAATAACAACTCTTAACATCATAAAAAAAAAAAAATCAGTTTTATGTGGATTTTATTTCACATAGAAACCCCAGAAAACGAAGCGGACGCAATGACTAAAAAGTAGTTTCTACCAAAATCGCAAACACCATAAATAAAAAATCAACTAAATATTTGATAAATGAAACTCAAAAGAGTATCATAAAATCACAGTTATACCACTGAGACTCGATCCCAGTAAAAACCAAGCTGAGTATCATAAAAAAAAAAATTAAAAAAACAATACTAAAAATTGCTTATTCACACTTATCCTACATGGTCTGAAAAGCTGATCTGGTCTTCAAATTCTTCAGAATCACCCTGTATCTAACCTTTTCCATACTCATATAATGCCCAGAAATCATCAATTTGACGATTAAATAAAATATAAAAAATATGAAGGAAATATAGATTGTACTAAAAACGTATACAAAATAAAAATATAAATGTAGTCACGTAATCATATGTAGTATGATGTAGGGCCATTAAAACAATATTGACTTTTACTTTAAACTCATAAAGAAAGGTCGGAACTAGAAGAACAGCTAAAAGAATACTTAAAAGAACCTACAAAAAATCTTTATCTACAATTTTCAATGCGAATAGAGAGTGGTATCTTAAACCATTTATATACTTGACATGTTAGATGGGGGATACCTTATGAATACCTATAGATATTTATAATATATGGCATTTTCAGGCACGAACTATAATTATGGACCTCCGCATTTAGTCATATCAAATATAGTAAATACTAAATTCTAAATTGAACATAATGTTGCCATAAGATTTTCTATAAAATATTAAATTACTAAAGTAAACTAAAATTTTAAATGGAAGTAGATGTACAAAACTTTTTTTATCCACGAGCAGTAATTTATAAATTTAAGATATATTGATTCAAAAAAAGCATCATTGGTTGGCTGTTCAAATTATATTACATTCTATATGCTCACCTTGAACGTTTTAATTTTAAAATAATCCATGAAAATTAAGCACTTATACTTTTTTAAGTCGTTTTTAGTGTTATTTGTAAATAATAAAATAAAACAAGAAATTGTTGTCTACCTTGCATAGGATCGTAAATAAGATAAATAATAGACGAACAAAAATAATCTTGACTGTTCAAAATCTACTATTGAATTACAATTTAAAGTGTTTTAGGATTGATCCAATAATACTGCCATACTGCCTAATATTCAAAAATTATATCAAAATAGACGGATTAACATTATAAATATAAACTGTGAGAAGGGTATGGAAGGAAAACCCTTTAAATTCAATACAAATACCCAGGGGACGGACGAAAATTAAACCGTCAATTCGATACTACGTTTAGTCGACGGTTTTTCATCACACCGGAAAATAGACTAAAACCAAATTATATTATGGTTCGATTATATATATATTGACCGCAAGGGCCCACTGCCACATCACCACCGGTAGAACCTAAATACTGTTCAATAATATATTGGTTATACGAACACGGTGCTGTTAGGTAATGGTTGTACGATGCGGAAAACGTCATTGGTGATTCACATGAAGATATTATATACTATTACAACTATAAAGTATTGATAGAGCAAGAAAAAAAGTAACTATTACTACTCACGATATTTGCTTCGGCAGTAGTAAAATGTCTACTTCTTTAATTCGCCACCAAAACAGAACAATATGCTCCTTCTGGTACGATACTATGCCTGCTATCACTGCGCCAGTTTTTGACTTAGAATACATAGCGATGAACGAATTAACACAGATAGAATTTGCGTGAATATTGACATATCTAAAATAAAATAATGAAATAAATTTTTATAAATAAGACATGCATAAAAAAATAAAAGCTAAAAAAGTGTTTGATAGCTTATAATTACATTTCATTAAAATAAAACTAAGTACATATATTTGATAAACAAAACGTTATTTCTCTACATTGCATAGTTGTAAGTTCATCAAAATATAACGAATATATATAATCTTCAAAGTTACTATTGTTATTGTTTTGTTAATATTTTATCTTGATTTATAATAATATTATATAGATTTATATTAAAACTAGAATAGATTACAAAAGTTATATTTTTAAGTTCTAAAAACATTTATTTACATCTTATTTTCACGTTCACGTTATAATGACATAGATATTTCAGGAGACCTATATTTAGGTAGAAAATTACATTTTTTAAAGAATCTGAATTTCAATATATTCTTCATCAAAACAAAATAAATAAATATTTCATTTTTGAAAAGTCATTTTTAATTGGGAATACAAGTCACAAATTGCTATTTACTCGTCGCACTAGTATTCATTAAGCTCCGCTTATTTGTCATGATCTCATCTACTTTTCGTGTCCCACTGGGTCGTAGCTACTCTTGTTACATAAGTAGGTATATGTAAAAATTAGCAATCGTCTACCTTATTTTTTTATACAAATCATAAAACTAGAAGAGCGCCTAAGTGCGTTTCTTTTTTTCTAAATGTAAATACAATTATTAGGTAGGTAGGTTTGAATCAAATTTCTACCAAGGGCGTATTTGAGGGGTGGCAAAGGGGACATTCACCCCCATGGTTCGTATCTTTTTTGAATATTATTTATTTAAAAAATGTAATGTGTAAATAATTAAGAGTATAAATTACTAGTCTATCATTATAATATGATAATAAATTCAATAACTATTAGATATTAGTAATAAACTACCAATAGATTAATAAGTTGTTTATCGCCAATAGAGGCAGTGTATTTACATTCATAAATTAGCTATTTTGTTTTCATCATATTTATTGCAAAGGTTAAAATCTATTTTGGGTAAATCCATGGTAATATTCCGATGTCACGACTGTGCTGTTAATAAAAACATGTTTACAACTTACGTCTTACATTATAAATTCTACTAATCAATTTATATTTGTGAATTATAGTTATTATTACTATTTTTTTTATATATTATTAAAATGTATTGATTGTATTGTCATATTACACTCATTACGCAATACTCAATGAATATTTTACAAGCTACAAGACAACACGAGAGAGCACAATATTAGTTTTGAAAAATAATAATAATAATAAGAAATAATCTAAAATTTAAATGGATTGTAAATAATACATTTACTTAGACTTAAAAGTTAAAATATAGAATAGGTAATACGAAAACTTAAAATACAATAATAATTAATAATTATGGTTGATTTAATTTGTAGTTAGGTACAATGTACATCATAAAAAGTATTGAGTTCGAGTTCGATTTAAAATCATAATAGATTTGATTCGGTTCAGTTCGGTTAAAAATATGAAGGATCGGTTCAGTTAGGTTAGGAGTTCGAAAAAATAATTTTAAGTTCGATTCAAGTTCGGTTCAATTTAAAAAATTAGGGTTCGACCCATCACTATTATATACTATTTACTATTAAACCGTTGAGTATGTAGAAATTTCAATGTAGGTTCGGATTTGAACCTCCCCCCATGGGTACGCTCCTGTAATGAATTGTAAATTATTTTTAAGTTTATATTAAAGAAAAATTAGTTTCGCTCCCCCCACCATGGCCTCAACTCAAATACGCCCTTGATTTCTACCGTCTATACCGCGTTTCAAAAGAGAAAATTACGCTTTCACGACCGGTTTTCGTTCGGCGGCGTGTACCCTCCATCAAGCATCGGCGGTCGCGACCAGTGGACTTCTGCCGTCAGCTGATTGTAACAAATATACATCCGGTGCTAAATAGCACGACTATAATATTATACTTGTTGAATCTTGCGCTAATAAAAAATAGTAAAATACGTACAAATACTATACAAAGATTCCTACTAGGTAGACAATCGTTCGAACTGGTCTGATATCACAATAATTATTCAATTTATTATAAGGAACTAAATTGAAACCGCTGTATACTTATCGGACAATTTTTATTGGTGATCATTGTGCGTGATCGACGCCTCATTTTGGCGAAAGTAGGAGAAATTGGCTTCGGGAATGCACAAAAACGGTATGGTCTCTTTTGAAACGGAGTATACGCTATAACTGTTGCGCTATTGCTGCAACGACCTCATTACCGATGAAGTAGCAAGATGCCTCCCTTAAAAAGCTATAGTACTTTTAACATATAAATTTAATACAATTTCGAAGCTCTCTTATTTCCCAATACTTTGGAAATTCTAAAAAATAGTATTATTTGCAAAACCTGACAAACTTTTGGATACCACTTCTTTATACAAACCAATAAGTCTCTTGCCTTTCCTATCTAAAATACTTAAAAGACTTACTCTCAAACAAATAATTTCATACATCATATTTAACCGAAAACCCAATTCGGATTTCGGTCCTCGCATAGTACCATTCACCATAGAATTGTCGATGCCATCTCGTTATCTCTAGAAAAAAAAACTCTACTTCACTTGTCTTTCTTGATGTATCTCAAGCGTTTGACAGAATTTGGCATGATTAGGTTATTGTTCATACTTAAAAAAAAAGTTGTTTACTCACCCATTTTTCCTCTCAATTAAGTTTTACTTAACTGACCGTCATTTCCAAGTATCGTATAGCTCATTATATTCAGAAATAGTCAAAATCAATATGAGTGTTCCGCAAGGGAGCATTCTATCCCCAAAACTGTTCAATATCTATGTCGCCGATCAGTCCACTATGCATCAAATCACGGTAGCCGATTAGGCAGACGATAAAGTAATTTTGTCAATAAGTGACATTCCATTAACCTCCTCATTGAATTTAGAATTACACCTTAACCTAATGTCTGATTGGTACGACAAAAATAAACCAAAGCAAATCCATTCACACTACATTTAATCTCAATATAGGTGTATGTCTATCCGTTAAACTAAGCAAAATTCCAATTCCTATATATGATAAAGTTAAATATCTAGGGCTAAATCTCGATAAACGATTAACATAAAAAATCGATATACATATACGATTCAAAAGACTGTCTCTCAAAGCCCGTGTGCGTAAATTCAGTCCTCTTATATCCAAAAATAATAATACCAATTTAACTGTCCAACTCCTAATTTACAATATACTCCTGAAACCTATATGGACTTATGATATACAGCTTTGAGGCTCTGCGAAAAAATCCAATATAATTATAATCCAAGTGTTCCAAAATTTAGCTCTTCGGAGATTATCCAATTCAAAGCAAACATCTTAAACCTAACCTTACATATCGATTTTTCTATGAAAACTATCAATTAAGAACCATAATTATTTTACTCGCTCCTTCACAAGCAACTTCTATCGTATCAGAATCCTCTTATCAAAAATCTTACAACTCTAACAATCCCAGAAAATCCTAGATGTAGCCTAAAAAGAAGTGGTGTCATGACCTTCTGAAACCAACTTAAATATAACCAAATTAAAATACAACTCCGACTTCTCGACAATCTTAATATAACTATACGAAAAAAAATGAATTTATTAATTTTATAAAAATTAAATATTGTTTAACGTGACTTTACAAATAAATATTATCGTCGAAGAAATAAAAAATTTATTTTTTCAAATGTACTACTGAATAAACAATTTACAATAAAATATTAAACAGCCATTAAATATTGTATGATTATACTTTGATAAATAGTTGAGGGAAATTATAGGAAATTATACTGTGAAAATTAAGTTTTATAGCTAAATATAAAGATGTATTAAACCACTATAATTTTTTTGGTAAATCGGTTGCCATTAAATAATAGTTTATATGAAAACGAATGTCATAAGTATCATACTATTATATCAATAATAATAAATTAATATCAAAACTCAATACATTGTGGTTATGAACAGATGTCAGGCGTTAATAACAATAATCACATTAATTCATTGTAATCACAAACAATAGTTAGATTTAATTTGTAACCAGAATTAAGGAAATAGTTATTTATCTAGATAATTATCAAGATAAAAATGTTTATTATTTATTTTGTTATCTAGATAGAAGTATAAACATTATCTGATTTCCTATTTCAAATAAATAATGATGTCATCTATTGTGTATTTACCTAGATTCTTTTTTATATATAATATTTAATTAATATTTTGAGTACTTCGGGGACTTGAGGATTTTACCACGCATCGTATCTGCGACAAATATATTCAATAATATAAATGTGAAGTTAAAATTAATATGATTTAAAAAGTTCCTATAGGTTTTTCTTGATTTCAACGAATATTTATAATCAAATGAGTATTGACCAAATAAAGCTATTATTTAGCGCAGGTATATATTACAAATCTATGGGATTTACCAAGAAAAACTATATATAATAACGACAGTTATAGAGTTTTGGGCAATGGATAACAATTAACAATAACTGTCATTGTCAACAACTGTTTCTTCATGAAAACTATAAACATTTTATCGAAAATAAAACCTTTGATCCACGTGGAACAGTTTTATTTTTGTTTATTTTTTATAAATAAATTGTAAAATATTGTAATGTGCTAAACGGCCAAACCTATTGATATAATCATTCCCTAGTTTTTTCCACTACTCATTTGGATGAGGACTTACAAACGGAAATCATTATAATGAATCACACGTTCAAAGATTACAGTTTTAAAATAAATGCAACTGAAACTAAAACTTTAGTATACTAAAAAAAAAAAAAAAAAACATAGCAATAAATGACAAAATACGATATAACAAATAGAGGTGGAACTAGGAATTTTTACGCCCGGGGAAAATGTTAAAATTATGCCCGATAATAGATCAATAATCAAATACTCTTCTCGAGAATTTAATTCTAATAATTAATAAACTTAAAAATACCAAATTAG